GGGGGGGGGGGGGGGGGGGGGCGCCAATCGGACGAGCGGGCAGCGGCAACGCGGGCGGCGCCGGGGCTGCGGGGGCGCCTGCGGGGGTGGGAGGCGTTGAGGTCGGGGGAGGGGGCGGAGGGGGAGGAGACCTGGGAGGTAGTGTTGTTGTTCGGAGGAGCGAGGGGGGGTTCGGGCCCGAAGAGGTTGCGTTGTTTGAGAAGAGGCTGAAGGACGGGGGCGAGCCGGAGGAGCTTCTGGTCAAGACCGCGCGAGGTGTGTATGTGTGTGCGTGTCTTTTGGTTGTATGCACCGCGGCTACCCCGCTGACCAATGAAAACATGTCAGTCTCAGTGCTGCTGAAATACGCAAAGAACTTCTACAGTAAAGGCTGTGGTCTGGGATTCGGGGTCACCGGGGCCAGACCAAAGGCAAGATGCGGTAGCAGAGGACGAGAATTGCGTGTATGTGCTCCATGGGCTTGCTCATGTGCGCTTGTGCAGTTAGTGAGGTACCAATCTGACTTCTGGTCCAGGCTGGATGGGTACTCTGTTGTCCTCTTCCCTTCCTCCACCCCCCCCTATCCGTCCGTTCCATTCCGTCTTGCTTCGGTGGTGCGCGTTGACGATACCGAACTTGTGCTTCACGCGCGCGTCCGCAGAGATGGGTGAGCGATCCCTCAAGCGCAAGGCCATCGCAGCCGCCCTGGCGGGGGACGACAAGGTAAGCGTTGTGCCGAACAACAACAACAACAACAACAACAACAACAACAACAACAAAAGAGGGAGCATCCATAGACATCAGTGAAGGAGTTTATGCGAAAGTTGACACGAGATCGGAGTGTGGTCCAAGTAAGCGGATAGCGCGGGCGGGGGGAGGGCCGTAAACCGCTGTCGCCGGCATGCAGGGTAGGGTTTCGGCGTACGAGATTTGCTCACGTATGTATCTACATCCCGTTCGACTGTGGATATATCTCGAACGGGTGGCCTTTCTGTGTGTGGATGTATTTTTCCTAATGTATCCGCCCCGTGCTTCTTCACGCCGACCGTTACCATCCAGGGGACCTTCACACATTTGTTACCTTGTCCCCCACTTCGCGCCAGCGAGGGAGGGCCAGCCAATGATCAACCCCGTGCTATCGTCGTACTGTACTCGTGCCCTCGTACGTGAAACCTGATTGGCTGCTTGACACGACAGTCCCGCCGATAGCCGCCTGTATCATACGCTTTTGTCGACGTTTTGCGTGTCGTCGTCGTCGTCGTCGTTGTCGTCGTCGTTGTCGTTGCCTGCAGGTGGAAGTGGTCCGTGCGAAGAAGATCAAGGTTAACGTAACCGTGGCGGGCGGCAGAGGCGGCTTCGGAGAGCCCAGCTACTCAGAGACGAAACAGGTGCAAACACGTGTGTGTGTGTGTGTGTTTGTGTGTGTGTGTGTGTGTGCATATATACATATGTATATCCTCCGCGCGCAAAGAACACACAAAAATCCTGTACATGTGATTAAACGTCACCTTGGAGGCGACCACTTGCTGCTGTCTCGGAAGCTTGTGACGTCCGACGACCGCACCGATAAACGAACGAACGAACCAGGTGGAGGTTCGCAACCGCATGAAGCTCTTGCAGTTCCACCAGGACCACCGGCCGCCCTACTGGGGCACGTGGTCCAAGAACAGCAGCCAGGTCACGGGCAGGCGGCCCCTCGGTCGAGACACCAAGGGCACGCTCAACTACGACTACGATAGCGAGGGTGCGTTTTCGTTGCGGCGTGTCTGTGTCTTTTTTTTTGTAGTTTTGGCGTCGACCGCGCTGTCCATTGAAAAAGACTTGTGTCTCGGTGCTGTTGAAAACAGTACAAATGCGTGTTGAGGCCGTGATCTGTGTGTCTGCGTTCGCGTGTTTCTTCTTTTGTTTGCATCCACCACGCTATGCTACAACTGGCTGACCAATGAAATTACGTCAGTCTAAGTGCAGGTTGAAAGCAGCAAACTGCCATGACCTGGTGCCCCGTGAGGTGGAGGCCGAGCTGTTCATGTGTCCTTGTGTGTTTTGTTTTTGCTTTCGGTTCTTGGGGGTTTGATGGTCGAAGTAGTTTGTTCGTTTCCGGGTAAATCTATTTTGGGTAGGAACGTACATGTTCCGCTTGTGATACTTCTGTTTTGTCCGTGGGTTCCGCACAGGTGTATTTGTTTCTGTTGCCACACCGTTCATTCGGCGTCTGTGTGGAAACCCTCCGCGCCATTCTCTCGCTTATACTAAGATCGGTCGCCCCCCTCCCCCCCCCCCCCCCCCCCCCCCCC